AATTAATTTATGTTGTTGTGAATGCTTCATGTATTCCAAATTATTGCTTTGTAGCTTTGACATATTTCTAATTTTTCCTGATCTCACCTTTGTCACTATCACCCTACTACCTCTGTTACTCTCACTGTCCATTCCTGACCCACTCTGCATATACATACCAAAGATGCTACACTGCTTCAGTGTTTTGAAAATTCCTTTTCTTGAGTGACTGTCTGTGTGGAATTTGTACATTCTCCCTGTGTCTGCTGGGTTTCCTCCGGATGCTCCGGTTTCCTCCCACAGTCCAGAGATGTGCAGGTTAGGTAGATTGGCCATGCTAAATTGCCCATAATGTCTGGGGATGTGCAGGCTGGGTGGATTAGCCATGGGAAATGCAGGGTTACAGGGATAAGTTAGGGGAAGTGTGTCTGACTGGGATGCCCTTCGGAGGGTCAGTGTGGATTCGATGGGCCGAATCGCCTGCTTCCACACTGTAGGGATTCTATGATTTATCTTCATAAATCAAGGAAAAATTGTGCAGAAGGTTAAATGTGCTTACTGGAAGCCCATATAAAGTGAATTTTAGAAGATGCCTGAGTTTGATTGACACTCACTTCAAATTCCCCCCAGCATTAATTAAATGTAACGTTGACTCTATTATTTTAAGCACCAGAAAATTCTGCATCAATAAGATAAGCTATTGACAAATTTGACAGTGCAATCCAGCATACACCAGAGCCAGAATTCCATTATGCTATTTCAGGAAGGTACAGGATAGGAACAGCTATCACTTGACATTTAACTTTAGATCTACTTCCAGAAACATGAGGCATATGCCATGGATATAGTACAATACCATGAATCATTTTATTGCACTTGAGAAATAAATAAATATCCATAGGCTAGAATATACCCTTCTCATGTTTGATAACACAACAAAGGAACACAAATAATGGGGCAGATCCTCCAAATATAACAAATGAAGTTTATGTTTTCATGCACGTATAAAAAGAATTTTACATGATAAGACAGTGGGTTGTGTATTTGACAGTAGCGTGTGACTAGATTTACCTCAACCATACGTTAAAGAAAGTAGGACATGAAACAATGTAGCAGGTACCTCAACCTCAGGATTTCAAGAGCAATGAAGTTTTTATTTTAAACATTAAGTTTTTATTGTGATATGGAAAATGCAGCAACATATTTTCACACATCATCACGCAAATAGTCATGGTATGGTTTTAGGTTTGGAGCTTGAAGGATAAATGCTTGTCAAGTCAGAACACTCTGACCTTCTTTGAATGGAATCTTTTACATTCATGCTCTTTCCTTATCTGACTCCTTAATGGGCTCACAATTATAAACCTGTCCACAGGTCGAAGGGATCCAGAATACTTCACATTTAGCTTCAGGTAATCCTGACAAGATACAACTTGATAACCTCTAACTGAGGTAGAAGCAGGAAACAACACACTGCTTGATACAATGCTACAGTTCACTTGAAAGCAATGCACAAAAATATCATGGGGTTAAACTTGGGCATCATTTCAAACTAATATTGACTTGTACTGATTTTAAAATTTCCACAACTAAACCACCTAACGGCTAAACACATTGAGTTTTTTTTTCATACATTACACGTGCTTGTGTTTTGTTATACAATATTAAGTTTAAAGTACATGGACCTTAGTCCTAATGTGAAGCAGGTTTCTACATTGAAAAATTCAGAGTGCATTAACCTAGGTCACTTTACACAGAACAAGCTCACACTCCTCCTAGTGTTGCTAACTAGTCAAATTGTCCATATTTCTGAGAGACAAAAAGTGGTGCTTACAAAGTAATGACTTAAGAAAATGTTAAATCACAAAAGCAAAAATACAAATGCTACTACTGACTGTTAAGTGTAGAAAAAACATTTGACTGAACGTTATTTGCAAAACAATACATGTTCTTCAGGAAAACAGGTGCAATTTTATCACAGTATATCAGCTTGTGAATTACTGGATGGACGTTTCAGTTGGTGTTTTGTTGAGTGAGATTCATGATGCCCGGTCCACCATGGTGTGAAATGACTTTTTCAATTCAATCTTCTGTTTTTCACCTCAATAATTACACACTCAGGATCTTGGCATGTTTCTCTGAGAATTAAGTGTCTGAAAAAGCAGAAGTATTTGCCACTGCCAGGACCTTCCATGTTTCACATGGCTGGCACCACATGTAGATCTCAATATACTGCCCAAGACACGGTAAGGCAGGAACTGCCCCTCACCCTGTGGGGCTTGACTGTTAAAACTGAGCACATAGCCCAGATGAAAGGAACGGTCACCCTTTGCTTGACAGACAGAGGCCTAGAGATGTGGTGGATAGGCTGGGTGGAAGACAGGGCAGTCCTTTCACCAGCCCATACAGGATGTTACCAAACTAAAGCAGTTCAATCTGGTCACAGGTTGCAGACTGGATTGGTGCTGTGCCCCAAATAAAGCAGGTAAACTGGAGGAGCAGCACCTCCTATTCCAACTCAGGAGCCTATAGCCCAATGGCCTAAACATGGAATTCACCAGGTTTAAAATCTTCCCACCCCCGCCTCTTCTCATGTCCAACCCTCTCTCTCATCCCTACTTCCTTCACCTGATATAACCTGTCCATCTTCTCTCCCACCTATCCACCCCACCTATCCCACTGGCCAATCCCTACCACTCCTGACCTGCACTCACATATCACCAGCCCACCTGCCTTCCCCAGCACCACCCCTCCTCTCTCTATTTATTTCCCAGCTCCCTTCCTCCTCCCCCATTTCTGAAGAAGGGTCCCGACCAGAAATGTCAACTTTCCTGCTCTTCTGATGCTGCCTGGCCTGCTGTGTTCCTCCAGCTCCACACTGTGTTGTCTCTGACTCCAGCATCCTCAGTTCTTGCTATCTCAGGAAGATGTTCAATGATCTTTTGTGTTCCACAAGGGTATGTGTGACCATGTTCTCTGTGTTACCTCACACTAACACTACAAACTAAATCTGATGGAATACATCTTTCATTATTGCATGCATTGTGTCCACTCAATAGCATTCGCCCATCTAATCCTCCAAATAACTAACCCTTACAGGCCCTTTGCGCTTCCTACTCACTCCTTGGCGATACCACAGTGATGCCTGTAGGTGCAGGTTCTCATCTCTCTCACTCTTGCTCTCTCTCTCTCCCAACAAGGTATCTTCGCCTGCTGTTTATCCCTTTGGAGGCTGGTTGCCAGCCGTTGGGGTGAGGGGATGGGGGGTTGCAGTTACTGCTCTATCTGGACTTGCTGATAAAGTTATAATTGCTCTCTCCTTCTACATTCAGAATTGCACCAAAGGGCGGAATGGCTCCAGCAACAGCAGTCTTCATGTGGGATCCATCAGCAAATAATCTGTGGGGAATGTAGGAGAAGACACAGAAGGGAATACCCTAAGCCTGCACATCTATCACAAAGAAGCCTCATGTTCACAATGTGGCACAGAATCTTCCCAAGGATGTGATTGTTGTGCCTCCATTAGGAGCTGTGATGCATGTCACCTTACCCAATTATATGATGCACAAATAAAGTTTTCATGCTATATTGCAGGAGTAGAATTCTGTCAGTAAGCCACCATTATAGCCCCGTCTGCCCCAAAGGAACGAATACCCTCAACATCACAAACCACATCCTTGCACATTTCTCGTCCAGTCTGTGAACAGACAGCTGCAACATCTTCCAATGCTTGCTATGGTTGTGAAATCAGAACTTTAGATTCTGCTTGGTTCTCATTACAGTCGTATAGTTAGCATGACAAGGAGGTGAATAGTGAGGAAAATTTAATGGTCATGATTGCTGAAGCAATAATTTTTAATGTATATTCATGGTCAATTAATGACCTATTGATGAAGTGAAAACTGGAGCCAGATGGTGGCATTAATAGAATCAGTGAAGGATAATTACTGCAATTGTCCTTACGAGTACTTCCAATTCAAAGAATTCTACTCCAGCCCTAAAGAAAAAAATGTAACCGCCTCTAGCCATTTTGTATGTGGTGCCCACCATTTTGTGTAGTTATTACATAGATGATGTTCAATCTGACATGGCAAGGTTTGTCTCAGTGTGAATGACTTGCAGGCTCCATATGTGACATACAAATATCCTCCATGCTTTCTGCTCTTCTTGGTGTTGCTGTCCTTGCAGCTGTATGAACTTTCACCTTCTCCCATTTCCACTGAGGTCATTTGCATGACTAATAATGTCTCCATCTCACCTGAAGAGCTCATGCTGTTGGAAATTCCTATGCCTTTCTTTGCCATAGGCCCTCCCCATGTAGAAATCAGAGTTATGATGGCCTGTTGAAACCATTCCTTCCCACCCCTTCCAGAGTTTCCAGTTCCCTCCTATTTTCTATGAGTTCTGACTCTACTATCTATAATTTCCCCACATGATAGTCGCCTTTTCCTCAGTGTCCCAGTACAACGAAGTCCATCCCTAGTAATCTCTAGGAGTCCGTGGACTACCCCCTGATAAGTCCCAAGCCCTGAGGACTGAAGTGTCTCCCTCACCTACCACTTCCCTCTCCCAGACTGACTTGGCAGAGCAGCCCCAGGTGACCACTGCACAACTCACTGACAGATGTCTCAACAGAACCTCAATTGAGTTACCCGTGGGCCCCAGACTGCTTACATTTGACCTTCAAGACTGACTCCTGAACCGCAAGGACACAGATCCCCAGATTCTCATACAACTAAAGTGCCTGACTAACCATGAGCAACCCCCTGACTGCAACAGGGCTGGATTAAGAAAGTAAGCTAAGAGTCATGGGGTGGGTGCATCTAGGCTCAAATGTAAAGGAAACCCCAAAGCCACAACCTTTGAAAATGCTCACTTCACTAACCTGAATTAACAACTGCACTCATTCTTGCCATACCACTAGTATTTAACACAATAGTTTTTTGAAATGAAAGTGGAAAGGTTCAGATATTTGAATGATTTTAAATTTTAAAAAAAGGCTAACTTTTCTTGAGTCCAAGTTATCCAATCATTTGCCCAAAGGAAGGAACCTTGTAACCTCGCTGTTGTTGCCACCTGTAACGCATCCTGCACATGGAGGTAGATTCTGGATCCTCAAACTCTGGAAATGCCAACTTGTCCAAGATTTCAAAGACTCCTGCTGGAGCAGCCACCTGTAACAAAATAGACAAGGGAATTACAGAGGACTGGATTCGATTCTGTCTGATTCTGCTCCCTAGGCTCCAGTCCATGTTCTTGGGAGGGTGCTGCTTAACAATGACAGTGAACTGCAGCCAATGTCTTTGTTCAACAAGTGGGAGCTCACCAGTAGGACAGGACTGGACAGGACTGGACAGGACAGGACAGGACAGGACAGGACAGGACAGGACCGGACAGGACAGGACAGGGCCTCAGCAACACTGCACTCTTAAAGGAACACCCTTAAATCTTTGAAGTGATTCCCCACTAGTGACCTCAATTGAGTCATTGGCCTGTGCTGTGGCTCTGGGGTTGACTATGTGGAAAGAGAAGTTTTAGGCAAGGCTAAAATAAAACAAAGAACTGTGGATGCTGGAAATCTGAAACAAAAGCAGAAGTTGCTGGAGAAGCTCCGCACAGCTAGAAGCATCTGTGGAGAGAAAGCAGAGTTAACGATTCGAGTCCAGAGTTCTGGAGAAGGGTCACTGAATTCGAAATATTAACTCTGCACTCTCTCCACAGATGCTGAGTGTATCCAACAATTTCTGTTTTTGTTTCAGAGATAGGGTCCCCTCACTTCCTGAAGGCACCTCCAAAATGTTTGCACCACTTTCTGGGGAAAACCAGTTTTCTGATTAATTTCATGGAATATAGTTTAAATTAATAGAACATAGAACATAGAACAGTACAGCACAGTACAAGCCCTTCGGCCCACAATGTTGTGCCGAACTTTTACCCTAAACCTAAGGTCTGTTGAACTTCCACCCCTACCTTATACTATCATCCATATGCCTATCTAATAGCCGCTTAAATGCCCCTAATGAGGCCGACTCCACTACTCTCTCCGGCAATGCATTCCACGCCCCTACCACTCTCTGATAAACAACCTACCTCTGATGTCTCCCCTATATGTTTAATTTATTTCTACATCCATACATAAAAGTTGGATGTAGGTCAATTTAACACAGTGTATCCTGTCTCTAGGGAACTGGCTTCTGACTCTGATACAAGTGTGGTTCTGATTTCACATATTAGGACTGCACATATCAATTAAACGTGAAGTATCAGTGGTTTTCACAAACGATGAAATTTACACAATGCTTTCCATTTCAAAAAATAATGAACTCCAACTTGCAATGATATTTTTAGAGTTTTTTTTTGCAAACGGTCCTGACATTATGTAAATACCAACTGACAACCCAGAGACACAAAAAATATGACAGGTTTTCTGAGTTCACTGAACTACTGTATTCCATTACTAGTCTGGGAAAATATTCAAAGCTAAAAAACAAAGAATGAAATGAAACATATTTCCATATGTGCAAATCATGGACACTAATCCTTTTTTAGCTACAATGACATTTCGAGCTGGTCTTCGAAGTTTGTACAAGACCAATACTTAATACCAAAGAGGCCCTGAAAGTATGAATTGAGTTCCCATTGCTTGATGTTTCTAGGAGGACTGCTGCTCTGTACATAAGTGTCCTTTGTCACAGATGAAAGTGATATACAGCAGAGCAAATAAACTGCGACTGAAATAGTTGTCTAAACCCAGGAAAAATTAGACGGCAAAATATGTTTCTTTACTTTAGCAGTGAAAACCCACCCAGCCTCTCTTTCACTAGTTGCCAGGGTAAATTTTGCTGAAAGCAGACTGTCTGAAATCAGGCTTGATCATAAATGAGCAGTGTTGAACAGATTTGTTTTCTGCCAAGAAAGTAATCAGACCAGATTTCTTAAAGATTCAGAGCATGCATTTTTAGTGATCTCTATAATGTCTTGATTATCACATCCAAAAAGATCTCCTCCTCCATTTTAACACAAAACCATAGTTTCATGTTCCCTTCTGAGTTTGACAATGGTGTGACTAGATGCCACTCCAGAACTCGGAGTGCTACATTGTTGTGGATGCTGCATTTTGGCGAGGTATTAAATTGACACACTGCTCCTCAGCTGGGCATAACAAATGCAATCAGAGATAGTAGGAACTGCAGATGCTGGAGAATCCGAGACAACAAGGTGCAGGGCTGGATGAACACAGCAGGCCAAGCAGCATCATAGGAGCAGAGAGGCTGACGTTTCGGGCCTAGAC